ACACTATTTCTGATACAGGCCAGGATGCCATTGGCCTTCTTGGCCGCCTGGGCACACTGCCGGCTCATGTTCAGCCGGCTGTCAACCAACACCCCCAGGTCCTTTTCTGCTGGGCAGCTTTCCAGCCACTCTTCCCCAAGCCTGTAGCGCTGCATGGGGTTGTTGTGGCCGAAGTGCAGGACCCGGCACTTGGCCTTGTTGAACCTCATACAGTTGGCCTCGGCCCATCGGTCCAGCCTGTCCAGGTCCCTCTGCAGAGCCTTCCTACCCTCGAGCAGATCAACACTCCCGCCCAACTTGGTGTCGTCTTACTGCTTACTGAGGGTGCACTCGATCCCCCCCACCCAGATTGTTGATAAAGATAGAACTGGCCCCAAAACTGAGCCCTGGGGAACACCAATGGAGATGTAATCTGTAACTAAAATGGATATTTCTTACTCTGATCATTCCAAGTTGTTGCTTTGCAAAAGGTGAATCAGAAGTCTCATTGAATAGCAATTCATTCAGGGTTAATAGGATTTCATTCAAGGATTCTTTTAAAAGTCAGTAGTGTTTCGTGCAAGTCAGAAATGTATGCTGAGTATCTAAATCCTTGTCACATTGTTCAGGCTCTTTTGGTTGGTTGTTTGCTTTTGTTCCCTGCTCCAAAGTGAACCCCTCCAGGCCATATTTTCTTCTCAAAACCTGTGATTAATACGGATGCGTCCAGTTTAATCTGACATTATTGAACCTGCAACATACCTGCTGTATTTGTGAATGTAAGGTAAATGCAGGGAAACGTTGGATAGGCATCTGGTGAAAGACATGCTTTGCTGACTGGAATATGTTATCTTTGAGTGTTTGGGGTTTATGCAGGGAAAAGAAGTGAACTTTTGGAATTTCAGTTGATGTAAATATTAAAGTAGAGAAAAATTAAAAACAAAATCAAAGCTTTGATAAGAAAATAAGTGTTTACTATAGTAGAAAGAATAGGGTGGGAGAAGGTTATTTGCCTCGGTATTTCAATTTCCAGATCCCAGGTTGGATAGATGGGTGAGGTTTTGGCAGCCAAGTAATAGGCTTTAAGAAGAACAGGAAAAACTGTGATGGACCTGACTTTGACACTGTTGTAAAAAGGGAAGGATAAGTGGTGTAACTTCTGGAAAAGAGGTCCTACTGGATTCAGGGAGAGGTCTGGGGATTTAAGCATGGGTTTAGCTCCCAAACTGAGGCTTTTAATTTAATTATCTTTTTCGCTTTTGTGGTTTGCATTCTCTGCTACACAAAAGGATATAAAAGTAACATGGTACATCCCCTGCTGTCAGCCTGTTCCTCAAAGGGGAGGATGTGGTAGTTGTGGCAAAATATTAACCTTGAGAGATCTAGAAAGCATACTGTCTCTGTAACTTTGTTATTCTCTTGGTCTAACTTTGCCAGCCATAGTGATGTGTTATGCTAATGTTAGTTTTTCTGTTCGAATCAGATTGTAGAGGTTTTGATAATTGATCGTAAGAAGCAAAATTCATTTGTTGTTTGAAGACCTTGTACATTTCCACTGGAAATGTTCTTAAGTTTTAAATACAAACATTATGTTGTGATTTATGTTTATGGCCGAATTTCTCCAAAGTTAATATCACAAAGTGTATGGGGATTGCAGTTTGGAATGATATGGAGAAGTATTGGCATGGAGAAAACGTGTAAATGAAAACTTCTTAAAAACATCTGTCTTCAAGTAGGAATGATCTAGATGTTTGAGAGAGCATGTGACGGGAGTTTGACTGTTGCAAAGAGGCTTACATCTGCATTAAATGAACTGATTTGAGCTTAAAGGAAAAAAGAGGGGAAAATATGACACTGGAGCACCATGGCTTAATACTTCATCTGGAAAACTGTTAGTGCCTGAGATAGGCTCTAGGTTAAACTAGTCTGCTTATTTCAGTGTGAAGTCTAACTTGCTGATAAACTGTTTTCTAGGAAGTTTAGTAAAAGACTTGCAGTGCTGCGAGTAACTGATAAGTGTTTGGTGTATAAGATGCATTGTTGGGGATATATGGGTGCTGCGTAGGTAAAATTTTGGAGATCTCTATATGGGGAAAAAAGCAAGCAAACCAACTGAAGCAATGAAATTCATTCTACAGAGTTAACAAGCAGGTGTTCTCAGAAGTTAGGTCGCTCTCAGTGTCCAAATCGTCAAAGATTGTTACAGATCCTTCAGATTTTATGGATGAAACTTCAGAGAAAAGCATGTCAAGTGGGAAAGATTTAAAAAACCCAAAACTTTGAAGATAACAGGACCATCCTCAAAATGTAGCTCTTTGAGGCTACTAACAAAGATTCTTGAAATATTTTCTTCTAATACACTATTCCATGTAGAGTGATGCTTTCAAAGTAGATACTGAGTGAGGCAACTAAAGAAATAGGTTCAGTATTCATATAAGCACGGTGCTTAGACATTAGAATTGATTAGATAATGCCTTAAGCTATTCCTGTAGGTAAAGAAACTAAAGGAAGAAATGATAAAATAACTTTGTCCACTGTTCTAAATGTGATGATGCAATTGTTTGAACAAGTGGCAGAGATTTAAAATAAATTACTTATTGTTGCATTCCTGTATTACATGCAGTAAAGCTTCTGTTCAGATGCTACAGAGTGGAGTAGCACAACAAAAAATGCAAAAAAAAATCTGTAATTAACACTAGTCCTCTGGCAGTTAGGCTTAAAAAAAATAGGGAGGTGGCTAATGTGACTATTTTGTTCTGGTAGTTTTATTTCTCTAAAGTTGTCTGTTCTTGTACCAAGCTATGAAGAACATGTCTTAGCTGATGCTGAAAAGAGGGTGTTGATCAAAATCCTGCCTTAATTGTATACACTGGTTTCTTTTATGGAGGCCCTTAATTTGCTGCTGCAATTGAAGGAAGTTTGTGTTAGACTTGACAGATTACAAGATGATGACACTTCTCCTGCACTTTACTAAGTAAGCAAGAGAGAACTGAAACCACACAGAGAAAAATGAAAACCTTTGGAAGCTATAAAGCCTTTCTCTGACACATGCAGTGTGACTACCTTACAGTGCAAAGATTGAGCTTAAGAAAGAAATAGGGTGGAGAGAACTGATGCAGCCTAACTTCAAAAAACAGCTTAACTTTTTTCTGTTACTTAAAATGGAAAAAGGTCCTAATTTCTACCCCACATATAATGTCAGGGATGGTTATGGTGTTCTTCAGAATTAAAGTATTAGGAAGTGCGAAAGTAAAGGCTGAAAAGCTAGTGGATTTTTGTCAGTGGTTGGTTTGCTTATTGTTGTTGTTTTTCCCTCTTGATTAGCCATTATACTGTTTAGCTTTTAAGAGTGTTTGGCCCAAGATTTCTAATGGAACAGTCAAAATACCAGTCAATACTACCAGGTAAAGGTGCCTGTAGGAAGGTGTGTCCGAAGAGATTTTATAGCTTAACCTGTTATTATTTCAGGTGCTTGAGCTTGCCCTTATTTTACTTGAAGAATTCAAGATTCTAATTTTGGGACAGCAGTGTCTTTTAAAGACATAAATACATTTAAAAATTGAGTCTTGTCAGCTGCGCATGTCAGATGTCTGGCTCCTTCTAGTTGTTGAGAGGCAATAGCAACAAATCTACCTCTTATTAAAAAAAAAAAGGTGCATTTATTGCTGTTTTAAAGTAATTTTATTTGTTTACAGGTGTCAGCTGTGATGCATGTTTAAAAGGAAATTTTCGAGGTCGCCGATACAAGTGTTTAATTTGCTACGATTACGATCTATGTGCAACTTGTTATGAAAGTGGTGCAACGACAACAAGGCATACAACTGACCATCCAATGCAGTGCATACTAACAAGAGTAGACTTTGGTAAGTGACAATTTCAAACTCTAGCAGTTTGTTGCTATGTTGTGTCTACAAACATAATACGGTTTTTCATGTTTCTACTTATTAATCACTTCCCCCATTAGCACACTGAAAATAAGAACAAGTTCTTGTCTTCTAAAAAACATGTGCATTTTCTTTGATTTTAGCATACAAGAACTGATTTATATATTTCTTTTTAATTGGTGCATATATATTTTTAATCTTTTTTTATTTTGGTCTGATAACAGCAGGTTATCAGACTAATAAATATACTTAATAACAATGACTACTCGGATAATGAACTTCCAATTCAGAAGATGTGGCAACCTTCTCCCCCAGTATGCTTTACTTAAGTGCCACAGTGTACAAGCAGAAAAATCTTGGTGAGATTTTGTAGGAATGGTATTCATTGGTGGCTTATGTGGGACTGTAGGTACAGCAGGGGTATAAGTACTGTACTGAGTATAAAAGATTAGTGGCAAGGACTAGCATGTAGTCTTCTTGGAGAAGATCTACTAATTTAAGAGTTATTTCTGGCTGTAAAGCCATCTCAATATTTAAAATAAAAAGTAATTGTTCTTGTCTCCCATCCTGCTTGTTGTTTCTATTGCATCATATTTGTAACAGGTTGTAACTCATGAGATACTTCTGTGACAAACCACTGTTCTAAGATGTTGCTGATGCTGGACATGCATTTCATTTTTATGTTAAGTCCACGGGGCTAGCATTTTAATAAAATTTTTTTAGCAATTCCGGCTGTATTGTTCTTTATGTTTCGAATTCTTTAAATATGATGATTTCTTAAAAGCTGAAGTCTTATGAATTGTAAATTACTTCTTTACCTTTTTGATTAAAACAATAGTAAAATCTACTTCTTTATTGCTTTAAAGATTAGAGAATAGCTATATATAGAAACATGCAGTTGGTTTCTCAAAGCGGCCTTTGAATGAAGATGTCTTTCATTTTCTTTTAATTCTCAGGCCTCCGCTTGCCCTAAGACTGCCTGGTCATGACTTCAAAAATCCAGGCTCTGGGAATCCAGGGTTTGGAAGGAAGTAGCTTAGTGCATTATCAAAAATGCACGCCACCATTTTAGCTTGCATATGTTTCTTCTTGGGATTCTTTTTTTTGGTCTCACTAATGAGGTAAAACTCTCTGTGTACAGTATATTAATTCAGGATTCCGGTCACTGTTTGAGATGCACAGTTCAAACTCCTTAGCCCCTTAGCAACAGTTATTCTTGGATGTTACACATGGGCTGAAAGGACAGCATTGCCGTAAATATCAAGTGCTCATCATAGGGGTAAGAGGACTGAAACATGCTTGCTATGAAGCCTTAAGCTAACATTAAAAGTCAAAGCTTTCAGTGTACTGCAATGAGGAAACTTGTTCTAAACACTACTCTCTTAAAAAATGCCTATCATCAGAACCTAAGAACATCTAGGAGATTTTTTTTTTTTCTTGCAACTTAGATATTTCTCTTTTGGAAGTCTTTGTATCTTTTGGTTTAATGCATTTTATTTGTGTATGTTGTGGGGGCAGAGAGGGGTTATTTTATCCTTCATGCAGACTTAAATAGTAAAGAGATGGCGAGGTGGAAGAAGGTTCACAGTGCCGTATTGAGATGGGTAATAGGATTCCAAGGGCTACTTGTGCATTGCTTGGTGTTTATGCTACTGTGGCTTCTTTAAATAAGAAAAATAAGAAAACAAGCTCTAGAAATTTCATATGGCCTGATATCTGAGCATTGCTCCCACAGAACCAGCGTTAGGAAAAAAAATACTGCAGCTCAACTCTGCAGCAAGACTCCTGGTTTGATTAACACTGTAGAACAAGAACAGGAAAGAATACATCACCACCAGATTGTGAACCACAGGAAAGGTTGATGGCACCCGAGTACTAGTGACCTTGTAAGCTTATACACTGGAGAATGAATTAGGGAATACTTACAAATGTTCCTTAGGGCTCAGGAAGGTCTGTGATGTCATTCTTAATGTTTTTATTTTACAGTTCCCTGTAGAATGTAAGACACAAAGGAGTGTGCCTTTACAGTATTGTACAGATGCTTAGAGAAACTACGGTAACTTTTCAAAGGGCCTTGTGTAGCCAAGGAGATCATATGACTTTAAGGAACATCAAAAAAATTAGGAGCTAAGGAATGTTAAGTTTTTAATTAGAAAATCAATAAAGAATGGTAGAACTAGTCTAGAATGACCTGTTTCAGAGTTGTCAGGATAGCTGTACTAGTGAATATTAAAATCACCAAGGAAGCAGATTTAACGGGTTAAAAGAAAATAATCTCAAGGGGAAGACTAAATGGCATAGAAATAATGAAGTCTTCAGTCACTTCCTAGTGATGTGGGAAGTCAAATGAAAGGAGAATGTTTTCTAATGTATGACAGTATGAGTAGGGAGTTTTCCTAAGTCAGGAAAACTTCAGTAGAAGCACAGAATGGAAGGCTGTTGGTATAGGTAGGTGTGTGAATTGTAGTTTACCTGGCCATTGACAAACTTCAATACTGTTGTCTGTAATCAGGTTTGATTCAAAGGCATGGAAACTGTTTTTAATAGGAGTAAACTTCCAGTTTTTGCTGATGGTGGGAAAGGGACAGCTGGTAAAAGATGAGTATTTTACAAAGGAGAAGAAAGCAGAGTGGGGGATCCTTCCATTGGAAAACTCATGCAAGCACTTCAGAGGAAGTCAGTGTTATTTTTCTGATTTTAAAAGTGCCTGTGGGGATCAGTGAGTCACTTGCTCAAGGTCCATCTGCAGCCGATGAAAAGGACCCTGTACCTCTAGTTCCCATCACCATTCTGGCCAGCACTGTCTATATGCAGATAACTGTGGAGTTTGCTTAAGTATTCTGTGCTTAAAGCTGTGACCAAGTTCAGGTTTGTGGTGGACAACTAATCACACAGGTGATCCTATGTGTCTGGGATTGTTTCAGCATAGAAAAAGTTAACATTGTTTACCTTAATGAAAATTCTGAATTCTGATCAGTTTTTTAGGGTTCCTAGGTACTGTAATAATGTTGCAGAGTATACTGCAAGAAGATGGACTTCTTCAGGTGCTCTGAAGGAGCTTTTGTTGTCCTCTTGATATTTTTTGATTTATTCCGCACCCTCACCCCACAAGACTTGGACTAGTATAGGAGCCTGTATGAGAACACTGAAAACAAATAAAAAGTCCTAGTGATTTCTCACTACACGTGTTCACTCTTGCACCATCTGGTTGGCATCTTTGTCTTTCAGGAGTCAGTGTATGACCTAGTAATAATTTTGAAGCAAGATGGGATCCAGAACAATGGCAGTGCTATTGTTCTTCAGTCCCCACAAGAGACACTGGAAAGAATGCTTTAACACACAAACCAAGAGTGATATGCTGCTGTAACAGGGACAGAGCTTAAAATAAAATATGAAGTCTCATATGTAATGACAAGTGGCCTTTAAAGCACAAATCCAATTAGTTTATTACTGAGGGGTCAAAGAGTAGAATTGCAATAGGCCTGTGTAAAGAACAGGAATGTGCTTACCAGGCAGTCATTGTACTTTTGTGCTTTTTGTAGGACAATGTGTCAGGACAATGAAGTTCAGAGCAAATTTTCCAGTTTTCTTTCTCCTGAAAAAGAATCCTAAGCTGTTAGGATGCTTTATGATTTTAAGCATGTGGCTTGCATGTTACTGCTGCCATTTTAAAGAGGTTATACTGGCAAAGAAAGTAATACAAATTGTTAGTAGAATTCTCTGCCAAAGTCATACTGTGTTATTTTTATCAAAGTACAGAACAAGTGTACCTCTGCTTGTAAGCTCAGGTGCTTATGTGACAGAAGATCCTGCCACCTTTTGTGCCTAATTCTTAGACAAAGGGAGCTACTTAAATAATAGTTACCTTGATAATGTGTAGTGTGAGGTCCGACTGGATTCACCAGAACTCAGCTGGAGGCTTTTGTGATTTTTTTTTTTCAACTGCTAGAACAAGATCTGTCTGCTAAGTCAGAGTATCATAGTAGTTTGTTTGGAAGGGGACTCTGGAGATCATCTGATCCAACGTTCTTTTGGAAGCAGGGACATAAGTTGGGCTATCCCATCAAGCCAAGTCTTGAATATTTCCCTCAAGGGATGTTTCACCACTTCTGGGCCACCTATTCCAGCGTTTAGTTCCTACAGTGAATGTTGTGGGGGTTTTTGTTTGTTTCCCTTTATCCAAGCGGAATTTCCTCTGAAGCAGCTTGTGCTTGCAGCCCGTCACCATGCTTCCTTTTGAAGAGCATACCTCTATTTCCTCTGCAACTACTTTTTCAGTATAAGAAGTTGGAGATGAGATCCACCTTGAGCTGTCTCTGTGGTGGATGAACCCCAGTCATTCAGTCATTCTTATGTCACATTCTCCAACCCTCTGTCTTGGTGGACACAAATGCACACACGACACACACAAAAAAATCCTAGATCCTCTCCATTTTATTTCAATATCTGGCTTGAATTGGAGAGATCAAAACTGAGCGCTGTGTTGCTGGTGTTGCCTAACAAGTGCCAAGTAACATGGGATAATCACATCCCTTGATTTGATGGCCTTAAATCTTACTGATTTAGCCTAGGTCATCGTTTGCCTTCAGTGATGCAAGGGCGTGCTACTGGCTCATGTTTGGCTTGCTGTCCGCTGGGGTCCCCTGGTCCTTTTCAGCAGAGGAGCTCCCCAGCTAGTTGACCCTGCCTTTGATCAGCAGCTGCTGTTTTGGCATTGCTGAGTATTGGCAAACAGGCTGCAAATCCCCTCTCACATTCATTAGCATCTGTGCTTGTTCATGGCTTCAGCATGTGGTTCTTATTCTTGGGGAGCAGCAAGAGCAGGGCTGCTCCACAAGGAATAACAAACCAGGAGCTGAGGGTGACTACAGCACAGGCAGGGGCAGTGTCCTCACTGACAGGGTGTGCGGGGCAGGGTTGGTAAGAGGAGCAGGTCCTGTTGACAGTTCCAGACAAAGCGAGTATAACAAGTCAGCTCT